CCACAGGATAGCATACGCCCAGTGATAAAAGCTTGGTGCACACGAGGTTGAAGCGGATCCAACCAAGCAGAAAAAGCGTCCAAAAGCACATCATGCCACACATAAACAGCAGTAGACGCTAGCACAAAAGGACCCGTATTCGATGGAGACACGAGGTTTTCCGACCAAAAGACACGCAGAGCAGCACGGCGTTCCTCCGCAACTGGAGCCGAAGTGCGGGCAAAGACCGCTGTGGGTTTGCGTTGTTGGAAGGTTTCCAATTCAAATGCTTTGAGGGTGAACGATTCTCCAAAAAAAAGTGCCATGTGATTTCGAAAAATGGAGGGAAGGCTGGTGGGACGGCTGACACCCAATTTATGTGCGCACAATGCGCTCCACGTCGAAGTAAGCGGGGTCAGATCGGAGAGCACAACAGGAAAATCCGCGGACATCGGCCGGTAGGCCGGCATGAATGCAGTAGAGGTGGTAGCAGACGCGGGAAGCATGCTGTCATCGCGAGTCCCACTACACAGGGCCAGCAACTCAGGCCGCTGCATGCAGAGCTTATCCGCCATCGAAATAACTTCATGCACCGCCGATGCAGACAAAATAGCTTGGGAGGGACGGCGAACGTAGGAAAAATCACCCAAAACATCGCGATGACCACCGATGCGCGTATCCTTCGCTAGGTCCCAGTCTCGCGGGCGCTTAGCAAAAGCATCGCAAGGCAGCATGCTCTACAAGGGAAGAAGCAGAAAGAGGCTAAGTCTAGATTCTCGTGGGTGGTGAGACCAAATAACACACAACCCAGGGGTTGTGAAAAAATGTGGCAACAACACACAGCAGTGGCGGAGGCCGCGTCCAGCACCCGCTTACCGTGTAATGCCAGCGGACGCCAAGTTTAAAGGAGTATAAGCCGTGGGCGGTAGCTTGCTCCTAGAGATATATGAAGGTAGGTTCTGTCGTTGACACGCTTGTCCACGACCACGTTGAGATGGGAAGGTTGCTTGTTATTGCTGAGAGACGATCAGCAAGGGTCTGAGGTTGAGGGCGATCTGCCCTCAACCTAGGGGACACGCAGACAGCTAAATCCCGATGGGGTACGTCCTAGGGGGCACGCAGATAGCTAAATCCCGATGGGGTACGTCCTATGAGGATATACCTACTGACGTCCCCCATCATGATCTACACCGACAGTGTACTCTATCTGTGCCGTACAGCAACACTCCTTAACACTATGATATACAGTGGGTGGCCCGATATAGTGCCGGTTGAATAGTGCCGGTTGCCGGTATAGTGCCGGTGTTTTCGGCTCGCACACACCGGAATATCAAGTCTTTCTGTACTCTGAATAGTGCCGGTGCCCGGTATAGTGCCGCTTTGCTCTCTGAACACATACCGGCACTATAGAGGGCCCCCTACCGTACGGGGCTTCTTATTTCTGTGTAAACCGATTGCGCTATCTATGCAGAGGACACAGACAGGTCTTTCTGGGTGGATTTCATCACGAGACAATATAGTCGTCTAGACTAATCCCCCCCTAGACGGTAGCCGCATGTATGTATGTACGGTATGGGAGAGGAGTGGTTGCCGAGAACAGAGGCGAACTGGATAAACAAGGCGAATGGCTGTAGTACCAACCTACTACGGAGGAGTGGGGTAATGTTGTGACGCATGAAAAGGGTTCGAAATTGACGAAGGCGATACACTGGAAACGCATGGTCTACAGGGTTCAAGGAGAAGATATCTGCTTTTGCCGAGAGAGGACATAACCTAACCAAATAATCCAAGGGTAAGGAGGGTCTGCACGTGTACGGAATGTTGAAAAGAAGGAATAGGGACCTTCTTCATGGACCAATGGATGTAGGGACAGAGCTGAAAGTCGAATTTAGTACTGGGGACACTGGCCTTCGAGAACGTAGACGAAGATTTGGGAACGTAGACGATGAAGACGACAATTCTACATGCGAGTGCGGCTCCGAGTGCGAAGACCATGTTCATGTATTTGCGTAAAGTCCGTTGAACTAGAGTTGGAGGTGGAATAGTTTTTTGTGGTGGTTGCACAAAAGTACCTGCAGTAGGCTCGTGCGTCTGTTCATTGGCTGGCTCGTCGTGTGATTTTCTCGTCGTACAGAAGAACGGGGGGCGGTCCATCATCACCAGCTAGAGAGGGGGGTGGTATCCATCATCATTCGCTAGAGGGGGGGTGGTGCGAGGGGGGTGGTATCCATCGTCAGCCGTGAGGGGGGGGCGCTATCCACATCGTCCCCAGCTAGAGAGAGGGGGGGGTGCTATCCATCGTCATCAGCTAGAGAGGAAAAAAAAACGTTGAAAAATTCCCCGGCTGGTGCTGCTGCTGCTGCTGATTGTTTGAACAGGACGGTTCCGCCACCGCTTTAGATAACAGCAACAGCAGCAGCAGCAGAGGCGACACACCCTCTCGCCCACAATGAGTGTAGACAGGTGCACAGCACAGCAGTGGTACTACATCTTCTAGGAACGAGCGTGATGTGTTACTGGTTCCGTGCTGTGATGTATGTATGTGTGTGTGCCTCTCTCCTTCCAGAGCAGAGAGAGGCCTCCCTCCCGCCGCGTCGCAACACAATAACAACAACCAACCGATGGACCCACAGAGACCCAATCAATATCTCTCCTCTCGCTTCCTCCGCCGAAAGCTAGCAGCAGCAGTAGTATAGGGCACACCCTGCTCCCGTCCCGCTCTCGCTGTGTGGTGTGTGCAACACACGCTGGTTGGTGTGGGACTCCCTCTCTCTCTCCAGAGAAAAGGCGAAAAAACGGCCGGCAGCGTTAAACAACAGAACAAACAACCACCGGAAACAACAACAACAACAACATCATCAGCGATGAATCCCAGACCAACCAGACGTTCCCCGCTTCCTCCGCCGTCGCTAACAGCAGTATGTGTGTGTGTCCCGCCCCCCTTGTCCATGTTCCCTGTCTCTGTGTAGTGCGTGTCTTGCCAGTAGCAGCAGCAGTGTGTGCAGCACGGCAGTGCGTCGTGGTTTCTTGCGTGCTGCGTGTATGTAGTTTGTTGCCC